TATATATATATATATTGCATCGTCCTCAAGGAGTGCATGGTATGGGTGGACTTTTGTGGGTTTCTTCCACCCACTTGACAAAAGCAATGTCAAATGAACGAGAAAAATACAACAAAGAAACAAAAAATAATTGAAAATAAAAGAAATCGGAAAATATGGTGGGGGCCAGGGGCCATAACGAAATTTGATCGGCAAAGCCTGCCATCTGTTTAAAATGGGGCCCACGTGGCAATAATATTTAAATGTAAATTTTAAAATTTAATTTTATAAATTTGTTCTTTCATTCTTTGTATGGTTCTTTTGGAATGCTTATCATTGATGTTCAAATAATTGAAGTCAAAGTTATCTGTGAATGACACATAAGAAATAGAGTATGAATAATAAGAGAAAGAAATTTTAGAGCATAATATCAGTAATATATCTCTGTGTTTTTTCAGAAGTGTCATTTCACATATTATTATTTTTTATTTATAGTAGTTAGAAGTTATATTATAAAAAATCAGTTAGAAGTTATATTATAAAAGATCAATAATGCATTGAAATTCTCTATGATTGTTCGATTGCGGTAACTGTCTAGATAACCGTTACTATGGTCGAATCACTATCGTTACATCTCTGTTTTGCATGCAATAAGGTTTAGCAAGTCATTTTTTTGTTTACTCGACCAGCCCTTTCGGTGAAGCCGGCTTAAGCTTTCGTGTCATGTTGATTGATAGCTCTTGGCACTCGGTTGGAATGATTCTTCAACACATCTTGTCTAAGGTTGCTTGATTTTGTTCAACTTACTTTGATCATACATATTTTAATTCCTCGATTCTCTCATGTATTAGTAGGCTATATTGTTGCGATAAGGACGTGAGAATTAAGTTTAGCAAACGCTTATCTTATTTTAAAATTCTTCATTAATTAATACTTCATTAATTTATGTGTGTGGCTGCTTATAAATAAATGGTAATCTTTCTAATTTTGCATATTATGTGTCTTATCTTCTTGTTTCTTTTCCTTTGTATCCTTGTTGTCTTCATCGGAAAGAAGGGTCCTTGCGATGGATAAGCATCCAGAGTCCCAACCTGCCATCCCGAGCAAAGTATTGCTTTGTGGCTTGTTCTCAGGAAAGAAAAGTAAGAGAAATTTTGAAAATGATCAAAAGAGGCAACTCATGAGAAAGTAGAGGATGGCATTGCCTTCGGGTGGTGGTAATTATGCAGTCACACTACATGGCTCCACCAGCTGCCTTGGCAACATCTCCCAGTACAATGTGGATTTAGGTTTTCCCTGTGTCTGTTGATCCTCCACCATTCAAGAGACTTCACCTGAGGAGTCGACAGTGTCCGAGGCAATTAGAGGCATGGGTACACTTTCGACTCAATCGAAATAACCTCTAGATATTGCTTTTTGTCTATTTTATTATAATTTTTAGGTATGACAAATGACGAGATTGAGTTGGGTTTAGATGGAGCTCTTGTAGCACCTGTTGAGGTTGGG